TTTTGAGGTGTCCATGGGTTCCTCACAGCCCAGAGACTCCATAACTGCATCTGGATCCCTTCTAGAGTGTCCCCATTGTTCTCCACAAACCCCCTTGAGATGTGGCCACCACAAATTCCCGCCCTTCCCCTCAGCCCAGAAGAACTTTTGAGGTCTCCATGGGTTTGGGACCCCCCAGAGACTCCATAACTGCATCTGAGAACGTGGTAGAACCTGGGAGAACCTGGGAGAACCTGGGACAACCTGGGAGAACCTGGGGAGAACCTAAGGGACAATGCTGGGAGAAGTTTTGGGGTCTCCATGGATTCCTCACAGCCCAGAGACCCCATAACTGCATCTGGATCTCTTCTACAGTGTCCCCATGGTTCTCCACAAACCCCCCTGAGATGTGGCCACCACAAATTTCCCGTGTCCTTGACATCCCACAGAAGCTTTTGAGGTCTCCATGGGTTCCTCACCCCCCAGAGACCCCATAATGACATCAGGAGCTGTTCCACAGTGTCCCCATGGTTCTCCACAAACCCTCTGAGATGTGGCTACCACAAATTCTCACCCTTCCCCTCAGCCCAGAAGAGCTTCTGAGGTCTCCATGAATTTGTGACACCCCAGAGACTCCATAACTGCACCTGAGAACCTGGGAGGACCTGGGAGAACCTGGGAGGACCTGGGGACAATCCTGGGAGAACCTCAGGACAATGCTGGGAGAAGTTTTGGGGTCTCCGTGGGTTCCTCCCACCCCAGAGACCCCATAACTGCATCTGGATCCCTTCTACAGTGTCCCCATGGTTCTCCACAAACCCCCTTGAGATGTGGCCACCACAAATTCTCACCCTTCCCCTCCCCCCAGAAGAACTTTTGAGGTCTCCATGGGTTTGGGACCCCCCAGAGACTCCATAACTGCATCTGAGAACCTGGGACAACCTGGGGACAATCCTGGGAGAGCCTGGGGAGAACCTGGGAGAACCTCAGGACAATGCTGGGAGAAGTTTTGGGGTCTCCGTGGGTTTGTGAGCCCCCAGAGACCCCAGAATCACGTCAAGATTCCTTCCAGAAGGTCCCGCATTGGTTCCTCCAAACCCCCCTGAGATGTGGCCACCACAAATTTCCCGTGTCCTTGACATCCCACCAGAACTTTTGAGGTGTCCATGGGTTCCTCACACCCCAGAGACTCCATAATGACATCAGGAGCTGTTCCACAGTGTCCCTATGGTTCTCCACAAACCCCCCTGAGATGTGGCCACCAAAAATTCCTCCCCTTCCTATCAGCCCAGAAGAACTTTTGAGGTGTCCATGGGTTCCTCACCCCCCAGAGACGCCATAACTGCATCTGAGAACCTGGGAGAACCTGGGGACAACCTGGGAGAACCTGGGAGAACCTGGGGACAACCTGGGAGAACCTCAGGACAATGCTGGGAGAAGTTTTGGGGTCTCCGTGGGTTTGTGAGCCCCCAGAGACCTCAGAACCACGTCAAGATTCCTTCCAGAAGGTCCCGCATTGGTTCCTCCAAACCCCCCTGAGATGTGGCCACCACAAATTCCTCCCTTCCCTGACATCCTACAGAAGGTTTGGAGGTGTCCATGGGTTCCTCACCCCCCAGAGACCCCATAATGACATCAGGAGCTGTTCCAGAGTGTCCCCATGGTTCTCCACAAACCCCCCTTAGATGTGGCCACCACAAATTTCCCGTGTCCTTGACATCCCACCAGAATTTTTGAGGTGTCCATGGGTTCCTCACCCCCCAGAGACCCCATAACTGCATCTGGATCCCTTCTAGAGTGTCCCCATTGTT